TTATTTCAATGTTTTACCTTGCGATGTAAAAGTGTCTATTGCCAATAATCTTATCGAACTTACAAAATATAAAGGATATGCAGGATGTAGGTCTATGAGAATAATTCCGATTGACACTTCAAAAATTATTTTCGTCATCTATAGATGGGTGTTCACATAATATTTTAAATTGTTTTACACCCATATATTTTGTTTTCTTTTTTTAAAAGAAAGTGAAAGATTTGTACTGCCTACATGCATTAACCAGTCAATAGTTTCAAAGACTATAACCCCGGTCAACGGTTTTGCAATCGAATTTCAATTACTTGCTTGTTCATTATTATTTTGTATCGGTTAGAAATGACGTCACTGACTATTCTGGCATTATGTATAGTTGGTGTAGATCTACCAGCATCATTCTTAAATAAATCAAACTTGAATTATCGGATACATAAAGGAATGGTTAAAATGTATTTTAAAACAAAGATTACAAAAAAGTGAAATAACAAAAATACAAAATTTATGTTTGTGATGAATATTTAGAACATTGGTTTTGCAATTTTTTAAGTTAAAAGACTACTTTATCTCTACAAATTATGTATCAATAACTATTTCGACTTGTAAATGTGATAAGAGGTTAATATCATGATATGAGATCATAATCAAGTTAAAGCATTTTGCGAAGTTACATTGTACCGAAATACATGTACTAGTAGTATGACCAACGAAAACAGAATAATCATATCTGTATTCAGTAATGTACAATTCATCGTAGCAGAATCTGATTAATTTTAAATTGTATTTCCAACCAGTACACTAATAAGTTCATTAAGTTGTGATTGAACTTAATTAACATTGTCATAAAAAAAGGATATATACGTGTTTCTAAAAAAGTGCGAAAAATTATTTTAATTTCGGTAAACCAAAATGAAATTACTAAAAGAATCCGTAGATTTACTATCTAAATAGTGTATAATGAATATAAGCAGTTATTTTAATTGTACGGCCTTCTACAATGAATAAAAAACAATACCATATAATCGGCTATCAAAGGCACGGACATAAAAAAAAATGAAACAATTCAATTGAGATAACTGACAACAATTTATAACTACACAATTTAGGAAAAACAAATATGCCAGGCATAAACCAACGACAACCACTGAAATAAAGGCCCCTGATTTAGGACAGGAACATAATATATAGCGGGGTAAAGCTGTTTTAAGGCCCCAACCCTCCCCTTATCTGGGACAGTGATGAATCAGTACATCATAAGAACAAACTATAATCAAAGTACTAAAGTACTGAACATCGGATGACCGCTAGTTCTGGTGGATAGTCACAAGCACTTGTCTCAGAAAAAAAAAATCACATCTCTATATTTGAAAGTTAGGTTAAGGTACATAGATATATTTTTTTCAGAGGCAATTTTTTGGGTGGATGATGAATAAATGACAGGGAATGCAACCTCACCGTAATAACTATTATATTGTAGTGATATAATCATTTGCTATCAGTATACTCAAAAACATATAATACAATGGAATTTTATGTCTCTGGTATACTCTAGTTTGTTGTTATATATTGTATTAATATTTGTATAAGTTATATATAATTTTCATCCATTTGTATATCATTCTGTTCTACTATTCTAATGATATTGAGTGCAAGTGCATGGTGGACACTCTTCTGTAATAATTAGTTTTTCTAATAGATTGGATTTGAGTAGGTATTCATATTTTCCCGCGTTTATTGCAAAAATTTCTTGAGATATTCTCCCGCATGCGTTAACAAAAAATTACGGTATTCTTAATTTGTTATTGATATATATATTTCTAACGACAAAACATTTTCATATCATTTTTCTACGTTCTTAAAAATTATTTTCATGAATATTTATTGATTAAATAAATATAAAACAAGCGACAAGGAATGTCATTTTGCACTCGATAATATCCGCGTAATTATACAAAATACGTTCGATTATCGGTCAAAAACGCAAGTCACGTGGGTAGAAATGTCTGTGGCAACATAACACAGGAATGCCCTTACGGTCATCCGCTGTAAAAATTATTTGAAAAGAGCTTAATATCTAACGAAAATACAGACCGGAGCTGGCTGGGATTTTATACACACTACACAATAAAAGAGACACAAATTACAGATCTGTGAGTGCTCGCAGTTACTGACAGCTAATTTAAATCCAATAACAACTAGTAAAAGAAATCATGGAACATAGTCAGTATTTCAACCAGTGCAAATCTATGTTGTTTCAGGAAATGGTTAAGTATGTACAAAACTTATAGGATTATTTAACTATCTAACATTACAGACACTCTAATGTTTACCAGTCAGAGGCAATGTCGTTAGCATAACTTAAATCTCAAATGAAATGTTGGAGCTATTCATTTGTTTTACAAAATTAATAACTACAAAAACAAATGAAACAGGATGAGCTTCAGATAACATCAGCTTAGAATACCAATTATGTTATAGTTATTGACCAAGCAAGTCGGTATATATACCATTTAATCTGAACGGCTCGGGTAACCCTAATTAACCCGAACGACGTAGGAGTTTGGGTTAAAGGGTCATCCCGACCGTGCAGATTAAATGATATATATCGATTTGATTGGCCGATAACTGTTTTTACACATGAAGCCATCAATTTACGTGAACATTTTGGAAATATGCGGACGAAATTCCGCAATCCACGGCTCCTAGGAAAGTTTCTTGTAGGATAAAGAAAGCGGGGAATACGCTTTTATGTAGTTAAAATTTGATAAGTATTAAATTATTAACTTTTTTTCATATTGAGGCTTCTTCCTAAATTGTAAAAAATTGTTACATTATTTGGAGAATTGCGATTTAATAGTAGATTCTTTTTTTATCATTTCTGTTAAATATATTCACAATTTTTATATAAGTTAGTGACGAATTAGAATTTGACATATTTTGTAGACACCTGTCTATTGTTGAACACTATACTATATATTGCCTTCTAGATGTCCTTAGTTTGTTCTTGTCGTTTAGTTGCTGTCTTATTGGCGCATAACCTACATCTCCTACAGTTTTAGTTCCGTTTGGTGTACTTTTAAATCGGTGTATGAAAAATCATAACTAAAATGGTTATTATGTATAGATTAATTGTCTTTCTTTCCCTCAATAATATGCTTAGAGGAAGAGATGTACACAGGCACTTGTTTCTATCCATTAGAAGGTCGACTATCCATATGTAGTACATATGAATAGTCGACCTTCCCATGTGGAGATGTCCCTAAATTAAAAATATTAAGTAAACAGAAAAAAAAATTCACTTTTAAATCTTTTAACTTCCCCTCCCCCTCCAATTTTTTTCTACTGTATTGATTTTGAAGACATGTCGCATCCAAACAATATCTGATTGATCTGAAGCTTATTCCCCCTCCCCCACGTTGTTTTGATACAAACTCAAATATGATCCTCATTAATTTCGATCCCAAAATAGTCACTTAAAAGTAGATATAGGGAGATGTGGTATGAGTGCCAATGAGACAACTCTCCATCCAAGTTACAATTTGTAAAAGTAAACCATTATAGGTCAAGGTACGGCCTTCAACACGGAACATTGGCTCACACCGAACAGCAAGCTATAAAGGGCCCCAAAAAGTTACTAGTGTAAAACCATTCAACCGGAAAAACCAACGGTCTAATCTGTATAAAAACGAGAAACGAGAAACACGTATGAACTACATAAACAGACGACAACTACTGAAATCAGATTCCATATCTAAATAGTAAAATTCCATTGAGCACGAAACTAATCCAAATCAGATTTTATTTATTTGGATATTCTAAAATACATTTCATATTTACCGTCAACAATTGTTTTTAGTCTCGCTACACTCGGTGATATTTTTAAAAATTATGGAATTACACCCCTTTCAAAATCCAGGGTCCGCCCCTAAAGGTAAGAGTACTTTTGAACTGTGCAGTATATCTAAGGTAGTTAATGCACACCTTTGCTGTGCATTATCCAGATTATGGCACAGTAAGAACAAAGAGATTTTAGTCATGTCATATGTTAAGAACTCGCTACTGAGTAGACAATGTCGTAGAAATCACAATTAACAGACACATAGGACACATTGAACCTGAACATTTGTAAGTTGAACATACGAATTGCTTAGTGAATGAATAAGTCAAGAAATACTATGAAGATTGTATTGTAATTTGCTGTTTCAGAATTTAAGAGAATGTAGATAGTTCCGTTGTGCGTTCTCTAAAATAAAGGAATAATCGTCACGTAATGGTTGACTTACCATTGTTTAGGACCTTTTTCATTAAATCACAACGTAACATAGCTATTGCACAGTAGATCCATGTTGTTTTATATAAAAATATATGTTTTCCTTTCTTGTATATAGTATTATATGTATGAATAAAATGGTATCAAATGTAAGTTAATGATACATCAACTAAACAAACTGCTTCTAGAAGTTTACACACATTCTAAAACAATTGATTCACTGTTAAAATTATTATTTTTTAATTGAAACGTGTGACGGAATGTATTTTAGAAACATTGTTATTTTCACATGGTCTACCATTTTGCTCTTTAAAGTATCCAAATTTCATTGAAAAAATAATTCATTATATATTTTTAATCTCATACTACTTTTAAGTTTGACTTTTGACTTTTGTTTAGTGTATAGGCGCAATAATCATTAAATGACATTCTTGTCCGTTCGTATGTCTGTCCACCATGAATCTTGTGTTCGTGTACCTATTTTATTTTTAAATTATTTTTTTTCAAAAATTTCTTGGTTTAAAATTGAAAATTATTCAGGTCAAACACGAAACTTTGATAGTTTTATCATTTCTAAATGCTTCCTTTTTAACACCCTATGAGAGAAGGAAGTAAGCCTTACCCAGCAAACGATCCGGCATCTGTTTAAAAAATCGGAACAGCGTTTTTATAAATAAGAAGTATAAATCATCCTCTGATTACTTTTTATGTCGTCACAAGTGGCGATGTCCGACTACGTACACATTTCCATGTAACACAAGGACGACAGTTAGTGTTTATTAAATACATAATGGAGTTGATTTACTTTTTCTTACTTTTAAGCGTTGATTTTCTTTCTGTAATGTTGGCAACTGGTGAGTAAATAAAATAAATTGATGACTAAATACATAAGACGTTCAAGGGATTTCCAAAGCTATTATTTTAAATAAGTTGTATGCAGAAATCATGACTATATATTAAATGTAACATATTTTATATCGAACAGTAATCAATATTACATGTATAACTATTTTAAGTATAAAAAAGAACAATAAAAATACAATGGCATTTTTCGTTATATTTCGTTAGACAAATGCATTTATTTAAAAGAACCAAACAAATCAGATCTTATTAGACTTTTTTCCTGTATGAGAATGTGTTTTAAGTTTTTCATCTCATAAGTGATTCAAACAAATACAATCTGCAAAACATCAATCCGCAATTTTAAATATGACACAAAGTAAAAGTAACATATTTACAACTCGCTTTAATTATGATTGATATTGCTGGTTGTTCGAATTTTCAAAAATAATTTTGCATCTACAAAACGTGAAATAATGTGACAAAAAATGACCGTTTTATCAATAAAAAAAAATAGCAAAAGCTTATACATCTAAAGGTTCAAAACGGCGTCGAGATTCAGTTTGGTCGGAATTCTTTGTAAAATGTTGATCATGCTACATCCGTTCTGTTTCGGGAACAGATGAGGGTAAACTTGTAAATATTTCTTTTTGCACGCGCATATTGCATATCTTTCTCGTCATCTAAATAATTTATGGAATTTTTTTAATGTCTCATATGCATCAATGCTTCCCTTTACTGACTTTTCTGAATTGGTCATTTCTTTGCAGGTAAGCCAGATCCACCGAAAGATATCCGAGTCGATGTAAATGGTAATACAGCTAAAATCTCATGGATAATTCCTTCTAACCAAGGTGTAACTTGGTCTCGGATTTCTCTTACCGATTCAAAAAACGTCAGTGTGGATTTAGATTCAGAACACCCACGTACATATAATGACATACAATATCCAACTTCTAGCTTTGAAATAGCCAATCTAAAGATGTGTTTGGAATATAAATTCAGTATACAATATCTAAGTCAAAGAAAAAGAAGTTCAGAAATCACCACACAAAAGTTTTGGATGACAAGTGAGTCCATTTTCCCTTTCGTATTACATTATTTTAGTTTTTGTACATCATAAAGTTAGATGATGCATTTGTCTTTTCTTTTCTTTTTTTTTTAGTTACCGAGAATGTGACCAACCATTTTTTGAATGCATGAAGCTTACATTTAAGATATATGTGTAAATTATACTCCACAGTTGAGTCATTCTATAGATTTTTACAAGAAAAAGGGATGAATTGATTGAAATTTTAACTATCGATCAGAATTATTCAAAACAAAAAAAACTAAAACAAAAATTTTGGAATTTTGAACACAACAACTTTGTGAAAAGTCTTATTCAATGTCATATTTTTTCTCTATTATAATTAAACAAGTAAGGACGTTAATTTCAAAATATGAATCATTTATTTTTGCCAGTTATAGTCTGCTGTGTTTTCATTCTATGAAAAAAAAATCTGTTGGTCAAAAAGCATACGTGGGATTTGACTTTGGTCTATTTACAGACTATAAATGTACGTGCATACTCATTAAATGATAGTCAACAATTCTTTCTAATGATTAATACATACTTATTTACTGGCTATGAAGACAATAGCAAGTTTATTGTTCCCCGAGGCACCAACTATTTCCCGACGCGAAGTGGAGTCAATTCAAACGATACAGAAAGTACGGGGAAGTTTCCCGTAAGAAAACTATAAACCGCTTAATAGTCTTTTTCAGACAATTTCGTTAAAAAAGTTAAATTCTTTGTCTATAAATTTATAAGGAAACAAAATACTCTTTTTAAAAGATGGGTCATATTCTATGTAAAATGGTTTTAGACTGATAATTATAAAAATTGTAAAAAGAATGCATCATTCTTTACCTGAAGTATAACTTCGATTCTTTATGAAGAGAGAGTGACAAGCTCTCAAGAAGTTAGATTAATGATAACAACTCTTTGAACGGTTCGTATGTGACCTGTTGCAAGGGTAGATTTTTGCCCCTACCCAACAAGCAGTTATTTCCAGTAACAGTCAAAAATTCCCGCCATTCAACCCGGTCAGAGAACCTTGCAGAAACTACATATTATATTCCATGATAATGGGTTTTCGTCCTGAACATGCATGAAATAATTGCCACTGGACGTTAAACAATCAACAATCAATCAAAGGGCCATTTATATGGTTAGAAGACAACGTTTGATAAAATATACTTCACATTTTCTAATATCTAGTACAATTGTAAGAATATTAATTTCCATTCAATCGCAATTTACATGAAAGGAGGAAAACAATCTTTACAATGTTACTTCGATTTTTAAGTTCTCGTCGACCTAAATAATTAACTTATTTCTTCTGTCCGAATCGAAAATAGTTCTTCCATATGATGCCATATTTTCATACTGTTGTTAACGCACGTTCACGATATTGACAATTATTATATCAGATTGTGTGCCCCACTTCCATAGTTGTTGGACATTTTGTATTGTAGTCTATGCGTCCGTCCGTCCAAAGGTTCGTTCTACCCATATCATGGTATTGGTTATGGTTTATTCACATCAACTTTAGACTTGGTAACATAAATTAATATGACCCCAATTCTATAGTTTACTGTACATGGAAATGTAATATTTGGAAACCAGTGCATTCTAAAATTAAAGTTATGGACACATCGCTTTGAAAAACTTAGTACATATGTTCATTATTGTGTGAACGGTGAAAGTAGGTCTAATAACCGCTCCAATCCGTCAAAACTTCCTCGGATTCTGAAGAAGGAAGTAATTCTATTATATTAGGTCTTGAGCTTGCAAATGTTAAGTTGAACCGTGTTAGTAGTTTTCATATCTGCCGTGAAGCCACCTCTTGTTTGTATATAGTTTGAAATTTTACAACATTCGTTGTATGGAGAAAATTTTAGACACGCTTTTCTTGTCTTCTTTAGAAGGTAATGATTTCGTATTTGGTCTGGAGCTTGATAATGTTCATTTGTGCCGCGTAAGCAAATAAGACAACAATAGTACAGCCACCTCCTATTTGCCGATAGTTTAAAATTTACAACACTTATTGTACAAGGAAAGTTTTCGTCAACCGTTTTTTGCCTTGTACAAGGAAAATTTTCGTCAAGCTTTTCTTGGGTTTTATTGAATGGAATGATTTAAAATTCGTTTTGAAGCTTTAAAAAATTCCTTTGGCGGATATTTACAACTCTGTTGTGTAATTATAAGGGTAAATGCTTAAAATTTGACTATTTACGAAATGGGAATGATGAAATCATCATGTTTTAAAAGAATTTGGCCGAAAACTTAGGAATGCAGGTGAAGTACATGTAAAAGATATTTAATCTGAAAATTAAACCTGGTTTTTTCCTATATGGGAACAAATCATGAACAATGTCTTCTTGTATCTTGATTTCTGTTTTGAATCTGGCTATTTTACGATTTTTCGTTATTCTATAGAGCAAGTATACTACGATTACACGTCCGATTTTTAAACTGAAAAGACGAAAGTTTTCAAAGAAGACAATATTCATTTGTACACGAACAGAAGGCAAAAAACATGTATAATTCACTTATATGCAAATAAATTGTTGATATGACCTAGGAATTGGCATCTTTGCATTTTATTATAGGGGCAAATAAAATCCTCTTGTAATGGCTGTCCTCGTGATAAGGCAATATGGCCGCTATGCAAATTATCAAAGTACCCCAAATTTTGCCATATGATGTGAATATAACAGGCATTAAGTATTAAGTTAGAGACTAGCCAGAAGGAATGATTCTTGCATATATTATTTCATCAATCTATAAAATTTTCAAGATTTATATGATTTCTCGAGCTCATTAACTGTTGAAATTTACTGTGTACTGTTGAATTAAAGTGTAACAGGACTTAGAGAACAGCAATTTTGTAACATTTTTTACTTTAATTGCTAAAGGCACTACATGGCGTAATATAATGATATTCATCGCCGATTTTATTCATATCGCAAAGATGATCAAACAAATCATTTTTGATATGTTGTGCCATCATTCCGTCTGATATCGACGAATTCCAAATCGCCATTTGCATAATAATTTTTTTTATTTCTTTGCAACTTGAAAAACAATACTTTAAACTAAAAACCGGTTTTTAAAATTCCTTAATAAGGCATTTACTGATTTAGGAGAAGTGCAGTAAAAAAAACATTCACATGACACCAATTAACATTCAAAATTAGTCGTGAATGGTTACATACCACAATACATATAAGAGACATGTAATCTTGTTATTTCTAGCATTCAGTTAACTGCTTAAAAGTATAGCTAGTTTACAATACTCATAATATTTATTTAATTCTGCATTCACAATACAACTTGGTGTCGTCTGTTGTATATGTAAATGTAGAAATAGCTTACAAAATTTTAAATGAATACATTTTATCAAAACAAAAATATTCCAAGCCCAAAATTATTGAGCCATAGAAAAAAGATAAAACAAATATCTAACTGACACTCCAAAGCTCAACAATTGTGTCTACATTTTTTCTTTTAGATATACCATGCATTGTTAAATAGCAAAAATATACAAAGGTATTTATACGCGGCTAACATTTCTATTTCTTTATTATGGATAAATAAAAATTAATATTTATCAAGTGTATTTAGAAATATAAGCAATTTTGTTTAATAACATTTGTTTTAACATGATATGTTTAAGTTGAAATTTTCAACAGTATTCATAAAATGTTTTTACATTGTTTGTAAAATCTCTCTATTCTCATAAAACAACACAGTTTAACCCGCATATATTAACATATATTTGTTTAAATAATGTTAACTCAAATTCAAGTTCATCACAGATAGAGCTAACACCAAATATCATTTTTCTAGAAGAAAGAAAACTTTTCAAAAATATTGCAACTAAGGATGTCTAACATCAATTTAACAAGCAATAAATTTCTATAGAATAATGTTCCAGATTTGACATAATGGTGTATAGTATGAATATAACGGACAACTTATTCTTATGCTTTTTACATTCATCCACCTTTTTTTCTAAATTTGACGATAAGTCGTGACATGCGATTCGTCAGTCTGTCCGCCAAGTCGTCCTGCTTTCCCACATTTGCATATATTACTGCTGATGAACCGCCTGACAGAATGAAACTCTCACAGAAGTTTACCCACCTGAAGTGCTATGGTACCTCGTATTGTGTTTTTTGATTGATTATTTTTTAATTTTCCTTTTACCAAAACATGGGGTTTGCGATTGCTTTTTTTTTTTGTACCCATTTTAAATCTGCAACTCCTCTTATCCTCCTAATTATAATTTAAAGAAACTTTCACACAATCTTTATAATGTAATGCCATTGAGTACCACTTTTTACGTTTTTTTAATCTGAATTATTTTGTGGATTTCTTTAACTAAAAATGACCTTGCCATTGATTTAGTTTCGGGGTATCCAATTTGTCTAAACCCCAAATCATAATTTGGTAAAACTTGTTAAACAATCTTTACAATAAAATGCTATTGTACACTTGTTATTTTAATTTGTTGGTCGGAATTATTTATTGAGCTTCCCTTACTAAAACGTGGAACTTGTCAATGTCTTATTTTGGGAAACCTATTTGGTATTCGCAACTCGTCATGCAGCCTTAATGATAATTTAATAAAAATTTCAAAGAATCCTTACCATGTATTGCCATTGATTATCTTTTTTGATCGGTTTTAGTTTTTCGGTTTTCATAACAAAAACATGGACTTTGCCATTGCTATGTTTGAGGGAACTTATTTTGTATCCGCAACTCCTAAACCCCGTACAACAATTGCAAGTTATTAAAACTTTCTCACAATCCTAACCACATGATACTTTTGTACTTTTTCATTAAATTTATTTACGCAGTTTCCTTCCGCAAATCATATGCACACCACAGTACTCATTATATCACATTCTCCCAAGATAGAAGTTTAGGACATAGCAAACTGTTTTACAAGGGGATAAAAGCACAGAAAAAAAATGAATTTCTTTATTTAAGATATTTAAAATAATGCAGACACTGAAA